GTCTCATATTTTATTTTCTCACAAAAGCAAATAAACAAATAGTTAAGCATCTTATATTGCTATTAAAGAGGAAGATATCAAAAAATAGAAACTGGAAAACTAAAAATGGAAATTATTTTTTATATACAAATAGCTATTAAATGAAGTAAAACTAATAATATTCTACATTTATACTACCTTCAAGTATTAATTTTTAATGAGTAATTAAAAAAAGAATATGAAGAATTAAAAGCACACAGTTATTTATTGAACAAAAATCTAAGAAAGTTATTAAATATTGATATAATTAAAGAATCAAAATTTTATACTTTTGAAGAAAGTGAGATTTATATAGAAATTTTTACTAAAAAAAGAATAAATATATATAATTATAGTTGATATTTTAAGAAGTATTTTCAGTAAAATATTTTATTTTATTTTTTTTTTTTTTTGCTCTCTATCAAGTTAATTATATAAACATTAGTATACTATATATATAAAATGAGTCATTAAAGCTAAATCTCTAATTAACTTACTTGTTTTAATTATTATCACTCTAAGTGCAACTTCAGAAGTAATTTATCACTCCATTAGTAGCTCAGGTGAAAATCCTTCCAACTACTAATTTCATTGTCTACAGATCACTACTGTAGATCCTCCTTATAAGTTCTAACAGAAGTTAAAACTCTAATCATTTTATTTTGTACTTTACTTCTTCTAGGAAGATTCATTTCAAATCCTTATCTTTAAGTTTTTCTTCTCACATAAGAACCTTTTTGTAATTGTAATCTTGTTGTTCCAATTTAAAGAACGGGTTGATCTTCTTATTTTGTTTTTACTATAGATTCCTTATACTTGTTTCCACTTAATCATTTTTTAGTATCTTTTATTCTAGATCTTCTTTCAAAATTAATTGCAAATCTTTTTCTGTATCTTCATTATCTACTTTTGGGATTCTTTACTTATTCTTTTCTAGTAACATTTTAAGTTTGATATTTTCAATATCTGATCACTTCGTATTAGTTTTATATAAAAGTTTAATATGTTCTGACTTGTTTCTGTAGTCTTTTTTATAAGCCTGGCTATATATTTGTCCAATTCTCCTAACTCTACTCTATTTTTAACTAGAAGTCTTATTTCTTTCTCTTCTATTTCTTTTCTTTTCTCATGTAAAAGTTTTCAAAAGTCTTTTAGAATGTCTTTAGTTTTTTTGTTTCATATTTCTTACTATTGGGCTTTATATACTAGACATTCTAGTAGATGTTCTATTGTTTCTGTTTGCCATTTGCATACTATATATTCTACTTATTTATATAGATCTGATCTCTTTATAGCTAGTTTGAAAGTATTGTTAACTTTTCATTGATTAATTTGATAAGAAAGCTTTTTTCTTGAGAATCTTTAAAAGAAATATTTCAAGTATATCTATTCTTCATTCTTTTCTATACCAAATCCCATATGTAGTCATATTGATCTTGAATTTATTAGTTCCATTTATTTGAAATCCTATTTTGTTTTGTTCATTAATAAGCTATAACTTTGCTATTTATGTTTTTAATAAACTGTCTTATGAAATTATCTAAAGTCTTTTCATACAATTTGATTTCAGTAATAATTTTGGATAAAGTAAGGTTTTTCTATTGATTACAGAAAGCATTAAGGTTTCCTTTACTAAAATATTTGCTTCTTCATTGTATGTGTCCTTAGAATATGCTTTGATCTTGTCCAATTTCAAATCCAATTCTTTTTTTTTAATGATATTCAATATTCTTACCTACAAGTGTCAGTTCTTTTTCTTTAACTATTTTTTATAAATTCTTTTGAAATCCTCTTTATATATTATTTTTTACTTGACAATACAGGCTTGGCTATCTATAAATAATATTGTGACTATTTCTACTAGTTCTGTTCTAGTAAATAATGACTAGTCATCTACCTCTATTTGAAGTTTACTTTCTCTACCCTCTTTTTCTACTTGTATCCATGCTACTTTCATTTTTATTTTTTCATTTCTATGATCAATAAAAAATCCATCAAAGTAAAAGACCAATGTATCTTTAAACTATTGATTATATTAAAATATTTTAATTGGGGAGTTTTGATATACTCCTTTTTTTATATTACTTCTAATGATTTACTCTTTCCAATTCTCTATATCTACTTGACTTACTCTACTATTCAAATTGGATTTTTAATCATCTTGAATTGTTTTTTCTATTGTTCTTTCTAAAACTATTTTTAAACTTGGAATATTTAACTGTTGGGTTTTTCTTGTGTATTTTCTTGTGTTTAGATAGGAAACTTTATATATTCTATTTCTTTTTGTCTTTATTATATATTGACTCTTTATGTTTTTATCTTTTACACATTCTAAACATTTTGTCAGACTAGTTTTTTTATTTTTGGAGACTCAGTATACTTGAAGTGGTTTATTTATATTACTTGCTTAGTATTTTTTGATTTTGGTTTTCTCCATATTATTTTTTAATACTTATCACTTATTACAATCCAGAGTATTTATTTGTCTTCTATTATAATCTGAATTTACCTTTGTAATTGTTGATTTCCATTTTGATCAGTTTTCTTTTCAGAATTTTGTAAATTGTTTTGGTTTTCTTTCTTGTATACTCCTTTTTATTGTTAGATATCATTCTGAAATAGATTTCTTACTAGTTTTTTGAATTAATTAAATTATTTGCCATCTTTTTAGTTCTTTAGTTTCATATGTAATCAACTGATTCATATATATCAACTTATTATTTTTAAGTGATAGTATGGCTTTCATATGTTTATCTAATGTTAGGTACTCTTTAATTGGATAGTTACCTTTGTCCCATTAAAAAATGTCTTGACATTTTTAGCTTTAAGACCTTATTTTTATATATTTGACCAACTTAATTACTTAAAGTACAAAGTTACCTCTATCTGATATATGATCTAATAATTTATAAGTAATTAGATTAAATAGTTTTCAGTATTTAACTTTTACTTATTTGATTTTGATAACTGTTGTAAATCCTGCTAATCCTGAATTATTTAGTTTGTTACATATCTTATTATTTGATTTTTTTTTTATAGCATTCAAATACTCTTTAAGTTATAGATTTTTGGATAGTATACTATATTGTTGGGTATAGATCTATACAAGTTACTTTTGTTTTAAAGAGCTTTCTATATGCTGTGATTAAAGTGTTACATATTTTTCAAGATAGCATACTATATTATATATATAATATAAAAACCTTGTTTAGAATATAGAACATTTGTTTGTCAGTCAATCTTTTATTCTTAAGGGCTCATGTAATTGTGTTGATCTCTCTGAGTATTTATTTTTTTAGCTTAATCACTATCTTTTGATTATCAATTCAAATTCTTGGGAATTTTGTATATTTAATTTTATATAACTCTTTAATTGTGTCACTATTGATTCCTGTTTTAACTTCTTCTTGATAATGATTAGGATTATTAATAGTGACTAGTACTAATTTGTTACTATTAATTTGAAAGTCACTGATTCTATAAAAAATTCTTCTTTTTCTGAAATTTTTTCTATGCCTTTTTTGGATTTTGCTACCTATATAATATTAGTAAAATATTTTATATCAAATAATTACATTATTAATTATAATTACTTATAGTTAAAGGATTTATTGAAATATTTAGATAAACATTTGAAATCAATTCAAATATTTTAATTAACTTGTAAATAATATTATAACAATTTATACTTCTATGATATGATACTACCAGAAGACTTGTTAAATTGGATATACAGTTTAAAAGAGATTTAAAAATGTGAATAAGAAAAAGAGACAAGAAAGAGTAAAGAATTGATAGTTAAATTCAAAAAATGAAAAATTATCAAATATAAGAAATTATTAATGTATTCGGAAGGTAAGAAACAAACTGAAAAAAGAGTATGAATGAGTAAAATTCAGGAGATAATTAAGAAGTTAAAAGAAAAAATTAAAAAATATAAAAAAATATTTGATAAAGTAAAATCAATTGGGATTAGTTTTAAAAGAATCAAGCCAAAATCTTTAAAGAAAAAAGAAAAACAAATGGAAGAGAAGAAAGAGAAAGAGGAAAGTAACAAATAATTGTTAATTTATTTTATAATTTTGTAATAAATTTCATGAAATTTGTTAAACTTTTTAAATATTGCCAAATTTTTTACTACAATATACAATTTTTTTATTGAATTTTTTGTTACAGTATTAATTTTTTTGCTAAATTTTTTGTTGCAGTATCAATTTTTTTGTAAATTTTTTGTTGCAGTATGCAAAAAAAATTTTTTTTTGTTATAGTATGCAAAAATTTTTTTTTTGCTATAGATGCAAATTTTTTTTGCTACAATATTGTCAAATTTTGTGACAAATTTTTTTACTACAGTACAATAAAAATTTTTTTGCCAAATTTTTGCCAATATTTTTAATGCCAAGTGGTAGCAATTGAAAATAATTTGTTAATATTTTTATTATTACATTTACCAAATTTGATCATAATTTGATTGCCAAATGACATAATTTCAACTAGTGTCAATTATTCTTTCTTATTGTAAAGTTAATAACTACTCTTTGTAATATTGCAAATAATCTTTTTGTTGTTTAACTTGTAAAGCAGAAATGTTGTATTGACTGATCTCTCTTTTTCAAAGAATTATCAAAAAAATTTAATTTTATAATTTTACATCATGAGGATTATAAAATTATAAATATCGTACAAAAATAATTATTACCATGATTAAACTTATCTAATTATTAATACCTCGTATATAGTATACTTTAATTGAAACTCGAAACAAAAAAAAATCTATAAAAACTTTTTGTAATAGGTTGAATAGTTGTTTATCGAAATCATTAAAATTGGTGCTATAAAAGGAGGCCTTCAATTAATTTTTGTGAAATTATGTAAATGCGCAAATGCTTTTAATGAATTTTAAGGTAAGGTAGCACATGAAGTCTGAAATTTGTTAGATATTAAAGATAATATAATTCACTTTTATGCTGACCCTTTTCTATCTATTCCTTTAATTCTTCATAATGGATTCCCTCCTTTCCCGACTCATCAAGTTCATGTTCGTTACCCAACCAATCCTTACTATCAAAAAAAATTGCACTTTCCTTATTTGCCTTTAAATGGTTCGGCTCATCCGTACCATCATCTACTTCCATCCTATTATTAGTATTATTACCGTTATTATTATTGCCATTATTATCATTGTTATTATCACCATTATTATTATTATTATTAACGACCAGGCTAATACCAGGTCCTCCAATTTTAAAAGAATTATTATCATCATTATCTAATTTTTGACTTACGCCATTAACGTCTCCACTTGTATAATTATCTTCTCTCTCTCTTATGAGTCTAACAATCTCTCTTAATTCCTTCTCTCGGTCATTATCTCTTCCCCACATTCGGCCAAGATTTATCTCCGCATCATCTATAGGTTTCTTGCCCCACCGATCTTTATTCTCGCAATTTATTTCTCGGAGAGACAACAAATATTGTACAACGCTTAGCCTTCCCTCGGCAACTGCCTGATGAAGGGCTGTACGATGATCGAATCCTGTTCGATTTATATCAAAACCAGCATCGACGAAATGTTTTAACAGTTTCACGTCACCTTTCGCAGCAGCACTGGTTAAGTTTTACGAATAATCGACAATGAAAAAAAAAAAAAAAAATAGGTAAATTAGCGGGTAATAAAGTATTATCAAACTCAAAGAGGATACTTACGAAAAAACCTGAAACATCACATCATCGATCTCGGCGTCGTTAAAATGTGCGCCGGTATCGCGTAGTAACTTTATGATGTTTTCATGTTTATTCCTTGCGGCTTCGAACAATGGTGTGTGACCAAATCGATCTCTCATGTGAACAGATGCTCCGTATTGTAACAGGAATTTAACGATTCTAGCGTGTCCAGCAGTACACGCAATATGCTGGTTTATTAATAGAATCAATCAATTAAATGAAAAATTGAGTAAGATTTGCAAGAAAAAATAACAACTCTCCTACCAAAGGCGTCCGTCCGTCGTAATCTATACAATTCAGTATCAAACCATCATAACTTTCCCATAACAGCTGTAATCCCTCAAGGTCATTGGTGCCGGCTGCCGAACATAACAATATCGGATAAATTGACTTTTCCATCAAAACCTTTTCTTGAACATTTATCATCAACGCCGAGTCGGATACACCACCTCGCTTGGCATCTGCGGCTGCCGCTAAGGTAATTGAAAAAAATTCAAATTAGATCAGTTATAGAAAAAAATAAAATACATTCACAGTTAACACTAACGCTAGTAAAAAACATACCTATCATGTTTTGAATAATTTTATGTGTACGATTGTGAAATGTGAATCTGTGTTTTTGCGCCACTACGGTGAGTTCCCCGCGAAGATTCTTGGTCATCAGCTCTCGAACAACTTGAGGAGAATACCGATTTTCCTCATCCCCTTTACTTAGAAGATATGAGAGTTTAACCAATGCACACTAATAATTCCAAATGTATGGTGGGTCAATAAACTTTAGTCACCTTTCGGCTTTATAATGCAAAAAAAAAAGGTTACTACCTCAGGTGTCATATCGTTCCCCGGAACTACTCCTGCTTTGGTGAGAGATTTTCCGGTTGCGTAAAGATCGGTCACCATTCCCTTCATGCATTGAGTGCAATTCACAATCACAACTCCTCTATCACTGGCTTCTTTCAATGCTTTCATGATATCGGTTCTGGTATCAGGCACATTCCCTGCACCAAAAGTTTCCAAAATGACGCCTTCTATTGGTGGTGCTAATAACGCTCGTACGGTTGATTCGGTAATACCGGGAAACAATCGCAAGCTGCTCACATTTCGATTTAGAGTTTTATGAGCGGTAAACTTTATGGCTGATGGTCGAACCACTTCTGCCCAATTCACGTCTGATGTTTTAAATAGTTAGTAGAAGAAAAAGTAGTGTCGAAAAATTAAAGAACCACTTACGAATATTTATTCCAACTGTCGCCAATGGAACCAAGTTTGGAGAGTCGAATGCATTAAACTCTACGGCATTCATTTTAACTGTCCGATTCCCACGAAACAATTTATTATTGAAAAACAGGCATACTTCAGGTATGACATAATGGCCGGCAATGGTGAGAGCCCCCAACAAATTTTCAACAGCGTCATTCCTAACCTCCGATATAGGAACCTATTTAATATTAAAAATAATTAATCAAACCCTTCCGAATCCTCTTATATCTACTAATCAATGAATAGTGAATTATCATACTATTGTCATTATGAAATAGTCCTTTCCATACCTGTGAGCCTGTGAGAATCACAGTTTTACTTTATAACAATAAGAAATAATTAATAATCAATAAATTACCCGGTAATGAAAAATTATATAATTGAGTGAGGCCTACCCTAAATTTTCCAATAAGAAACTGAGAGCACTGGCGGTGTAGGCCATTGTGTCCGTTCCTACACATCAAGTATTCCAGATTAAAAATTATTAGGCTACGCAAAGAATCAATAAAGGTTGAGTGATGCCAGGGAAATACCGTGGAGAATTATGAATGCATCATATGATTCATAATTTAATTCAATATCGGCAGCGATTCGCACCCAATCTAAATAAAGAAGAAAGCAAATGAGACATAAGAAATCGTCAGTTTTAAACACCCTCTACCTTTTCATGTTAACTCACCATCACTGGACATGTTACATGAATCCAATAAAGGTTCGTATTCTACGACGGTATATCTAGGTAACATGATCAACTTGATATTTAGGTCATATGAAATATGAAAATGCGATTGAATTTTGATGATTAACAATACCTGATCCTCTTGCCTTGTAAAGAAAGTGGCGTTATTAGACTACGTTTAAAAACGTTGTGTTGTCTCGGTAACTCATACTTCCAGTCAGTAATGGTAATCTTATTTGTGAGCATATTATCAGTATCGTCGTCAGTCGGATCTGATTGATCCTTTGACAGACGGCGAAGGCAACTACAAAATTTTTTATCATGAAATCTTGACATTCCTGCTAGCGTATCTGTAAAATAATTCGGCACCTATGAAAATTTTTTTTAAAAAAAACGATGTAAACACTACGCCGAGAATTCATTTTGTAATACTAATGTGAATTACATACAGGAGTGTATCCGTGTTTATTGGTGTTCTTCATGCCTATGGTCCCGCCTGTGTAAAGCACGAGCACTTGAGATATATCTAATTATTTGACCAAAAGGATCAGCAAACAACAAATAAAATCCAATACAAAATCTTATTTCAAAGTAAATTTTCCAACCGGGAGTTACAATGTCATCTTGATCTTGGTTCAAAAGCAATTCAATGGCGTCATTCCGTATTGTGGGTTGCTTGATATCAGCCGCGGTCACAACTTCTTCGTCCGACGAAACGCTCGGAAAATGAGTTCTCTTTAATGAAGACGATGCCACATAATTTTGTTCCGAAAACTCACTTTTCCTCTTTGCACTATTAAGATTTGGATTAAACCCGTTGTGTAAACCGATTCCATTCTCTGGACTATTATTGGTACTCATTTTTCTATTCTGTCCAAGATTCCTCGGAATAAAAGATAGTTTAGAGATGGTGTTTGCTAATCTGGTGGAAAGATTTTTCTCCTCTTTAAAGGACTTTACTGGAGGGATATCATCTTTTTCCACTTGAAATATTAAACTCTGACTTTTTGTGAGAGAATGCATAATAATTTCTAATTTGGTCTATAAAGTAGTACGTGCTTGTGCTTGATCTACGATTTCCCAAACAAACAAGCGTCAAATAATTTGTCCTGTGATGCGTGGGAAACAAGTAAGGCAGATGATTTGATCTCGTAGTTTCCCTGCATAAACGAGCTTTCTTCAGAGACCAAAGAGAAATGTAGACCGTTGACGTTGTTATCTCCAATTAATGTATTTTTTGGTCCAAATGTAAAATTTTTCACTCAGGGAACAAACGCATGTTAATATTCATACACATCAAAGAGAACATATTAGGAAATCGTCGAGCATCGCGTAATTTACCCTCCCTACTTCCATAAGAAAAAAATTTTCATGTTACAGATCAACCGTTAATCTAAAATGTAAAATTTTCCCAGCCATAATCATATTTCTTATTATGGTTAAACCATCTCATGTTATTAAAAAGCCATCTATGATTCATATCGTTGTGTCATGTCCGTCCGTTCGCCGCCTCTTATCAAATCAAATATATTTGACTTTATAATCTCGGTAATGATCTGACGAATTCATAATTCTTATCTAAATTAATTGTTTTTTTCTTTGTGTAGTCAAGCTAATCAATAGTAAACCACCTATCTTTCGGAAACCGGCAACAAGAGCATTAGACCTTTACAAAAGACCGAATATATACTGTAACTTGCAGAAAACAAAAAGAAATTATTAAATGTCTAATAGAATGTATAGTTTATAAAATTGTGATACGAAGTATGAAGAAGTGAGAGTTTTAGTGAAAACTATAGAAAAGAATAGTTGAAATAAAAAATAAAGAAGTATATTAACAATAAATAAAAGATAACTAGGAGAAGGTTTTATATAAATTTAATAAGAATTGATTTGATAAAAGAAACAAAAGAATTAATAAAAGAATTGATTCAAAAATAAAGAAATAGATTTTAGAATATATTAAAAAAAGAATTTGAAATATAAAAAATAATAAAATAATAAATCAACTATAAAATATTTTTAGATGTAGAATTAAATATATGCAAATAATTAAGAAAGAAAGATCCGAAATAAAAGAAATTTAATAAATAAAATTAAATATAATATAAAATAATTAAAATTTTAATTTTTATAACTTAATAATAATTTATATTAATAATTTATAAATAATAAATATTGATAATCAGAAAAAATTTTAATTAAATTATTAATTGATAATATCTTATTTTTAAGATTATATAAAGTTGATTAATTAAAAATTTATTTTAATAATATATATATTTTATGAGGTAAATAAGGCTGATTTTGATAGATTGCTTGTGTTAGCATTTTCAATACCAATATTGTCATGACTAGTTAAACTATTACTTTCATTGCATACAAATTGAATGCTATCAAATAAGTTTTCATGTTCTATTTTTTTAAAAAATAAACCAATAAAAACAAAGAATATAACAAAAGTAATTAAGCAGTAAAACTATAATATTACAAAGAAATATTTAAAAAATCATAAAGAAAAGCAAGTATCAGATTTTTTTTAACTTATCTTTTATATTATTATTAAAAAAAAATCATCTTATTTTAGTTTTCTAGATAGTTCGATTTAAATAAAATTGAATAATTATATAACAATTTATATAGACTGATTTATATCTGATTTGAATCATATTGGATTTGATTCAAATCTAATTTGAATCTGATAATTTTGTAAATTTAAAATTCAATTCGATTTGAATCTGATCAGATTAAAAATTTTAAAATTTGATTTAATTTAATTCATATCTGATTTATATATTAATCAGATTTAGATCAAAATTGTAATCATTAGTACAAATGAATATAGGATATGTTATTAATACATCTTTGAATACAAGAAAGAGTCTATTTGACAATGATAAAGATCACAAGAGCTTAATTAAGTTTTTGAAAATCAGAGCCACCTACTTTAGATTGTTTTTCAAGTAAGCTTCAGCTATTATTGCTTGAAAAAGTCCAATCAGAAAAAGCAAAAAAAATAATCAAGAATATTCAATAGTAAAGTTAGTCATATAGTAAATTAGGAAATTTTTATCATATTTTCAAAAAATCCTAAACTGGAAAACTGAAAGATCAACATTACCACATTAATCAAAACTCAAGTCTGAAAATGTCAATAATGATGTGTAATCCAGTTGGATAATTTGAGAGATCCATATGGATCATTAACATTAATAGCTATCAGTAAAATATATCAACCATAAAGTTAGATACAGTCATTCTTTAAGAAATTAAATCTGAAATACATTTTGCAGATAAGTAAATTTAGATAAAAATAAGTTTAATTAATAATATACTGAAAAACTTTCAAGTCATTCATATAGATACTAATATATTACCTAGATCTTCTTGATTACTCCCTACTTATAAGTCTTAAAACTATAAAGTCTTTCTTTTCACTTCTATCTTATTTTCATAAAGACTTAGTAGAAGCTGCCCCAGACCACTATTATGAAAGAAATCTAGAAAACAGGATAGATATTTGTTTAGAAACATCATGATTATCTTTTTAACATAGCATATAACTGCACCTTTTATTTTTTTATTATTTTTTTTCAATAATATCAATATGCTTTAAAAAATGTTGACTTCTTTTATTAAAAAAGAAAGCAATAAGCCTCAATATAGCTATAACTTATCAAATTTTTTATTTATTCTTGAATATACATCTTTGTATATATGCTTTGTACAAATATAGAAATGTAATTTGGAAATTAATAAAAATTAGACATGAGCCCATAAAAAAAAAAAATTATATATATATATATATATATATAAAATTGATTTATTTAAAATACTTGTTTATAAACCTATGGGTAAATAGTACAGTGGTAGTGCTTCCAGGTCACAATCACAAGGTCTGTAGTTCAATACCACTTAAGGACCAAAAATCAAAAATTACCCTTCTAATCAGATTTACTGATTATCTTACGAAAGTCGTATCCAATCATCCGGAACAAGCTTTAATTAGATTAGACTGCATGAAGATGAGACTTCTGACCTTCTGTCGATTAGAGGCTGAGATCTACAGTTGTACTACTAGAAGGATTGCATGAAGAAAAGCTTCTGGTCTAACCCACTATAAACACCCCATAAGACCCTCTGCCCTGGTAGTCTCCAGGACCCCTGCTCTTCTAGTTCAGGATATCCCAATATGATGCTTCGCTTAAATAAAAATCAGTTAAATAGAACTGATCCGATGTCACAGGTGATGATAAAGAAGATAAAATGCTCCCTTCCGAGGTCTGAGCGAATAATATCTGGGAGTATTAGAGAGTAAATTAAATCCCGTCGCGTACATACTATATAGACTAGTTTAGTGAATATAATTAAAAATTTATAAAAGCTCAATATTAAACTTAGCCTGTTTCACTGTTGATAACTGTGTATTAACTGTCTGTCCCCTAGCTGGATCTGTCCCACTCACAGAGTGGTTAGTGGATCCACCTAGAAAAAACCACGATAGGTTATCATTAATCTGCATGTACAGTCTGGTCCAAAAAAAACTGGTATTTGGTTTTTTTTATTACACAATAATGGTTATATAGAATTATATGAACTTTTATTTATATGTAGTTTAATAAATGTATTTTTAAAAAATAAAGTTTAATATGAAATATGCTTCTCCTTATTTTCAATAATTAGTTTATAATATCTTTTTATTGATTAAATTAATTCTATTAGAACAAATTTTGATATTTTTTTATATTCTTCACCCATATACTATTTCAACTTATTCTGATTTTTTAATATATGTTTCTCTATGTTGCCCTTAACAATACTTCATAGGTTTTCTATAGAATTCAAATTAGGACTATTTGATAGTCAATTAATAATATCTGATATATTTTTATTAATAAAAGCTTTTGCTAAACAACTCGTATACTTCAGATCATTATCTTACTGGAAGCACTACTTATTACCAAGTACCTTTTTAATCTTTGAAATATGTTTCCAAATAATTTTCACATAAAAACTAGCATTTATGATCTATTGAAAAAAAAATAAAATTGATTTTTTCCTAATATAAAACTCTTTTCAAACTAAAATCTTAATCTGACTTTTCAGTATATAATGAATTGATTATGTGCTCTTGACGACAGTGAATTATCCCTATAAATATATCACCCAAGTGTTTGTGAAAAAGCTTCGGCAATCTTTTTTGACCAGCCATTTCCATCCGAATGCTCATTAGAACTGACTTTTTTAAGCTTTTTTAAATTTTAATAGATAGTTAAGAGAAAAACTTTGCAAGTGTATACATATTTTTTGCATCCTATATACTATCATCCCACAATTATAATAGAATCTTACATTGATATTTTTTTCTTTTGACCGACATTTAATATTCCTTTTCTGCAAAACTAACTAAAGATTGAGAAAATATCGATTGGTAATATAATATACAATTCTTAATTTTCTTTTTTTTAATAAAAAAATTTTTTAATTGGATATTAACTGCATGACTTACAGAAATTTCCTAAAAAAAAAAAAATTTCAGTTTTTTTTTGAACCAGACTGTATATAGAAAATATATAGTTTGTATGAGATGATTGATGTGATGCCCAGGATTTCATTATCTAAGATGTTAAGTTAATTCTTAATAAAAGTGCTCACATCTAATACCAGTTGCGATTTAAAATAAAAAAAAAAAAATACTTGTTTAGAAATATTTCTAATAAAGATATCTTTATTTTTTATATAAAAGATTATAAATAATTTTTTTCTATTTTTTAATTAAAATATCAATAAATATTTTATAGTAAAAAACATTTTTTATTAATCCTCTGATCATATATATAAAAAAGATGTTCACAAGATTTTTATATTTCTTGAATAATAAAGTTTTTTCACTTTCCTTAAAACAAATTGAAACTTGTATTCAAGAGTTACTATTATCTTTCCTTACTTATTTACAAATACTTTTAAACAAAAACTTAAATCTTTGATGCTTAAATAAACTCAAGTATACATTTTCTATATTA